GAACTGCCGCAAACAATAAGGAATACAAGAAATTGAAGACGCGCAAGATCCGCATGTATCCCAACGATCAAGGAAGAGGGTCTGATAAGAGAAGGACGCAGAACTAAAATATATTTGTGAAAACGAGTGATTAATAACAATAACTATAACTTGAGAATGCTTGGGTGGTGAAGGAAACTCCTTCTGGTGTACGCGATCGTGCGCTGTCAAAACATACGATACAAACCTTATATCGAGTAAGAAATCACGATCAAGAAAATATAAAAAAAGTATAAACCAAAAACATTTACCATTAAAATAATAAATTTCATACGAAAAAAAGGCGAATATGCGTTTGTTAAGCATATCAAGACCTCCCGAAATAAAAAATGCCGTTTATATCACGCGAGACAGACTGGGTCGATTCTATATTTGTGTGTGCGTACCGTTGGAATAAAATCGTCGAGAAAATAATGATTTTATCTCGATCGATCCTGGCGTGCGCACATTCATGATGGGATATGATCTCAACGGAAAGATTATTGAATGGGTAAATGAGACATTGCGCGCGTTTTTAGGCTATGCAAGAGATATGACAAATATGAAGTGACGTATCCAAAAGCAAGGGTGGATCTAATAAACGTAAAAGATACACGCTAAAGAGAAAAATGTCATGACACACGATTAGATCAAGAATATCGTAAAAGATTTCCATCACAAGACCGTAAAGGAATTATGTGAAAATTCAATACCATTCATCTCCCAAGATTTGAAACCAAAAACATGGCGAGAAAAAAAAAGAAAGATTCAAGACTCGAGAACCAAGAGTCTGATGATATTTGAATTTTAAAAAGAAATTCAATCAAAAGATCAAGAGCAAGATCGCGAGGATGATGTTGACATGGTCGCATTATAATTTCCAACATTACTTCGTGCATAAGATCGAAGAATATCCCGGCTGATTGTCGATACTCTGTGATGAGCATCACACATCCAAGACGTGCGGGAATTGCTTAGACATAAAGGACAATCTTGGTGTGCAAAAGTTCACAGGTGTTCTTGACGCAATTTTGAGATTGACAGGGATCACAACGCAGCTTGCGACATCCTTCTGAAACATCTGAGCCAAGGTGACTTGGAGCTGGGGTCTTCTCCGCTTGAATGATTAGCATGCTAACATTCGTTCTATAATCGC